AACCTTAATTGGAGGCCCCCGGTGATGTTTGCGGAGACAGATGGGAAAGGATCTAATGAAATCACCTCATCCTGGCCTCTGTGCAGAGCTCACCCATAAAACAACATTGCCAGGCAACGGGCCTTTGCCACCCGCAGGGCCGATAGGGGCTGGGAGGAGCTGCGTGTTTGGAAGGTGGTTCTGTAAGCGCGTGACGGTGTGTTGACTCTGCTGCTCACCGCCCCGGGCTCCCTGGGAGATAAGCAGCTGCCACGTTCCCTGAGTACAGGCAGAGAGCTGCTCCCGAGGACCTCGGGCAAGCACTGTCTGCGTGGACTGTTCTGAGGTCCCGCCAGCGCAGACCTGGTGCTCACTACAGGGGACACTTCCAGCCACCAGGAGCAGTGGTGGCCAGGATTCCTTTCTCTCTCTGACTCCCGGCTTTTGCCCTAAGGTTGGAGTCAGGTGTTCAGTGCTGCGAGCTAGCTTTACCTCATGGCACATCCATCCCAGAGCCTCAAGCCTCTGGGCCTCCTCTCCATTGATCCTGTTTCCCTCAGAGTGACAGCAAAGTCCTCACCAAGCCCACGAGGCATTGCATGATCTGACCCAACGTCATCTCACCTCCACCAGCCCCTGGCTCACCTCTCTCCCAGCCACTGTGGCCTCCACGCTCTACCTCACACCGGCCAGGTCTGCACCTGCCCCAGGACCTTGGCACTGGCTGTTCACTCTGCCTAGAGAGTTTTCCTCCATAGACACACATGGTTCTCTTCCTCAACTCCACCAGGTCCTCACTCAAGTTCCATCTCAATAAGCCCCACCCCAGCCCACGTAGGAAGGCCCACGCCTTCCCTCTCTCATGTTCCAAATCGCCTCGCCCTGTTCCACTCTTCCTTTTCCACAGCAGTCTCCCCCTGGAAGCTGACACAGCATGAACTCACTTACCCTGGATGACTGTTGGTTGTCCGTCTCAGCCTGGAGCACAGGCGCCCTTTTTCTTCACTTGCATAACCCGAGATCTGAGAGCGGGGCCAGGAACACAGAAGGTGCTCAGTAAGTGCTCGTTGAATGAAGGAACGCTCCCCACCCCCGCCCCTAAACCATTCTGATGGAACACGTGAAAGAGGCTGGGTCCTGAGAGGTCAGAGTGGGTGATGCCTGGCATGCGCCTCTGCCTGGGGTGGCCCATCACCCACCACCTCACCACAGGGGGCTTCCAGAAGGAGGCAGCCTTGGCCAGGAGGGAGAACCCCAGGCTAGTGACCGGAGGGCATGGCATCGGCGTTGCTATTGATTCACTGTGTGACGCACACGAATCATCTCTGGGACTCGATTTCTTTGTTTGTCAGAACAATCACACCCAGAGGTAGGGATGGAGGAGAAATCTACTAGGACCCAAGAGGGGCAAGGCTTGAAGGGCACAGAACTCCACATGGCTGCAGGACTGACCTTCTGGAGATGAGGACACTGCAGCCCACCCACACCCTGGCTGTTGTTGGTCAGCATCTTAGCTCGGATTCTGTGAGACAAGAATTTGAGTGTGTGGGGTTTGTCAGGAATCCCTGGTATGGGAGTGGGAAAGGCAGACGGGGATGTGGACAGAGGGTGAGGAAGGAAACGGAAGCCAATGTCGTGCACACTGCTGGCAGTGTGCAAGATCAACACATGCACTATCGATAGTGTGTGCACTCTCATAACGTGTGCAGATCAATAGCATGTGCGCTCTCATAACGTGTGCATTATCAGTAATGTGCACTCTTGCAGTTTCATAATGTGTGCACTATCAATAGTGTGCACTTTCATGACGTGCACTATCAATAACGTACACACTATTATAACATGTGCAGTCAATAGCATGTGCCCTCATAACATGTGCACTATCAATAGTGTGCACTCTCATAACGTGTGCACTCTCACTGTGTGCACTACCAACAGAGCCTGTGCTAGCAACAGTCGGGTTCTGTTAACAAGTACCCACAAAGTGTGTGCTATCAAGCCAGATGCCACTGTGAAAACATGAGCTCATTCCCTCAGGGAACTGCTGGGAAATGGTTCAAGACCTCCTCAGGAGGCTGCCTGAGCTCACTGGCTAAGGCTCTCCTGTGGTGGGCCCCTGAGCTTTCAGCTTCCTGAGCCCTCTGGGCTATGGGCACAGAGGAAATTAGTCAGAATCCTGGAAGGACCAAGAGACACACAGGGCTCGGGCTGCATCTGTCATAGTGGGACTCAGGCCTGGGTTGTGGGAAGCTGCCCAGGTCTCTGGCCACCCTGTGCTCATTGCTCTGCCCAGGCACCAATGGGACTCTCTGGGGCCTCCCAGTATCAGTATTCTGGGGGGCTACACAACCATGAGAGCTACCTCTGCAGGCCTGGGAGACAGCTCTGGCTCCAGGGGCTCTGGCACCCCTCCCCATGGGACTCCTATTCATGGGACTCGGTGCCTGGCGTGCTCCTAGGTGTGCCTGCTGAGTGGGCAGCTTCTGCCCCACAGTGAGGCTAGGATGCTGGCTCTGTCCCCTGTCCCCCTACTCTGGCCAGGAGGCAGCCCCCACACATGCCACATAGTCGTGCACGGAGTGCTTTTTTCTTTTTCTTTTTTTTTTTTTTTATTGCTATGGAAGATGAGGCAGTCTCTACAAAGTTCATAGAGATCACATACAATGAAAAACAATGCATGGATTTCTTTGTGTGTGTATGTGTGTGTCCAAATAAACTCGTCCTTTAATTCCATTTCTCCATGAACCTCCTGAAATCCTCTCATATACATAACACAACACTGAGTATTCTATTTTTAGGTGCACAGTCGGTGACGTTATGTACGCATCCACTGTCATACAATCCGAACCACACCCATCTCCAGAGCTCTTTAAGCTCCTTACCTACTAAACACTAACCCCTATCCCGCCCTCCCCCAGCCCCAGGGACCACCATTCCATTTTCTGTCTCTATGAATTTCTAGAAAGTCATTTTTAAAGAAGCATCTCAGCATAGTTCTCATGGTCCAACTTCATCCGCCTTCTTTCCCTCTCCCCTTGTCCCACCCCAGATCATCCCCCCAACACTAGAGTCAAAGGGGCATATTTTGGCTACCGGTCTCCCACTTCTTTCATTCATTTAAAAAATAATTAGATAGACTACAGAGGTTGTGTGTACGAGAGTCTTTTATCATAGCGAGAACAAAACAAACCCCCAAACCAGGGAACGTCTGGAAGTAAGCAGTACATTGCGGTGGACCGTTTCACTCAGGATGGGTTAATACCTGTGCCATGATTCTGGGAAGACTCGTGTGGACATGACACCCGTGCACACATCCACGATGACCAAACGTCACAGGGGCCTGGGGCACTTCTCAGGGCTCCACTGAGATCCTTCCCTGGGAACTGACCACTGGAGCTCCCCAAGCAAAAATGACAGAATGGATGCTTTAGAGTTGCCGATGCTCCTCTCAGGGTGGACGAGGACGGGGGCTTCTCCCGCAGTTTTCAACATAAGATGCAGATTAGTGTTCCCTGTACTACTGCGGTCCTGTCACCCCTCCTCCATGCTATTCCTTGGACAGGCCAGACACTTTCATCTCTCTGGGCATTTGCACTTGTCATTCCCTCTGCTCGGAGCTCTCTTCTCCGAGACCCCTGCTAGCCCATGCCCTCACCAGCCTCAAAAGTCACCTCCACGGTGAGGCCTCATCAGACCCACTCTCCTCACATGGAACCTGGTCCCCCTGCTGGCAAACCCATCCCTACCCTGCTGTATTTCTGCCCACAGCACTTGCCACCTGACATCCTGTGTGTCATGCACTGTCACTTGTCCTGCTCTGTCCTCACCCACTAGAATGTAATATCCTCTGTTGGCTTCTGTTCTGTGCCCTCAGCACCAAGAACAGCTAAGCGCTGTTACAACGTGCTCTGCGCACATATTGGGTGCTCAAGATGTCAGCACACAGCAGGTGTGTCAATGAGTAAGAGCATGAGCGGGGCCATTCCAGGGTCCTCTGAGCACCTACCAGGTTCGTATTTAGGGGCAGATGTGCAGAAAGTAGAAAGCAGCACCAAATGGGGGTTATTTAGGGGCAGATGTGCAGAAAGTAGAAAGTAGCACCTAATGGGGCTGGGGGGGGCGGTCTGATGATGCCAGCCAATGTCAGACTGTCTGCCAGATACCGGCTCGCTATGCCGCTGGGTCAGGTCGCAGAGCATTTCTGGCAGGGCCACAGAGTGCAAGCAGCACTGTGAGGGGGCATTGAGGGCTCCGGGGCAGAGGGAAACAAACCAGGAAAGCTTCACACAAAACAGTCCGGTTTTGAGAACTCTCAAGAAGAGAGAAGGGATGTTCTCAAATACAGGATGGGTGGCCCAGGAAGAAGGGGATTCTGAAGGCTGAACCAGGCTAATGAGACGATGTTACAAGACTCATATTTTGGCTTGATATTAAGAACTGGCCCTCAGGAGGGCCGTCTCACGTTGGCTGAGACTTTCTGAAGCCCGTCCCCTGCAAGATCTAGGATTCACTCCCTCCCTGGCTAAGCTTTCAAGCAGTGCATTCAACAGTTAGCGCCTGAGTGCGTGCACTGAGTGCGGAGTGGGGCGCTGTGAAGGCAGTGGCGACCCCACAGCATTCAAATCAATCAATCCACAAACGCCACAGGTCCTGAAGGCACAGAACAGGGTTGCCAGAGGTCACACTCAGACAGAGGGTCGAGAGGGCTCTCTAGCGCCTCCTAGAGACTGGGGGGAGCCCAGCCTGATGAATGCGTTTCCAGCCTGTGAAATCGGAAACCCGGAGAGGACCTTACGGAGGAGCGTGGCCCGGTGCGCTAGGGTTGGCAGGGACCCCAGGGCACACTGGAGGAACATGAGGTCCAGAGACGGGGAGTGACTTCCCACTACACACAGCAAATCGGAGGAACCAATGAGGGTGGAAGACCAGCCTCTGCTCCCGTCTCCCCTCATCCCGCCCGTGTGGCCTCCCAGATAGTCACTTCCCCGCCAGAACTACCAGTTCTGAGCCGCGGAGGCCAGAGGCTGAGAGAGGGGAGGCGGGGGAGATGGAGTGAGCCGGGCCGGACCCCCTGGGGGTGGGGAGAGGGGGGCAGAGGAGGCCCACTGAAGTCATTTCCGGGGTCGGGGGTTTATAAGCTGGGCGCGGAGCGCTACTCCTACCGCTGCAGACACTGCTACTGCGGTACTTGAGCCAGTGCGGAGAGCCCTGCGGGCGGACAGACAGACAAACGCAGATCCAGACGCTGCGCTCCCCAACTCGGCCCCAGCACCGCCGCAGCCGACCCCGGCCGCCGCTCCAGACACCCCTCTCCTGATACCGCCGTCTCCGCCCCACATCGCCAGCTGCTCGGCGCCCCGGGTTCGCCATGCGCTCCGCGGCTGTTCTGGCGCTTCTGCTTTGCGCCGGGCAAGGTGAGTGAGCGCGGGGGTCTCGGAGGAGAAGGTCCCCGGGCGCTCCTGCCTGCTGTTGCCCTGCCTGCCCGGAGGTCCAGGCACCGCACAGCGCCGCCTGCCCCTTCTTCCCTCCACCCGGGCGCGGCTAGTTTTCAGCACCGCGGACAGCGCCAGGATCTCCCACTTGACCCCGAATCGTGGTCTCCGCCCAGGACGCTCAGGACGCTTAGACCGGGCTCCCAACGCCGCGGGCAGGGTCCCCTCTCCTATTCTGGGCTCGGGGCCTCGGCTGCATCAGGGCAGCGCCTGCTCGGGGCGCCGTGGGCGGGCCCAGGGGCCAAGGTCATTGGCAAGAGATGGGAGGACCGCCGCTCGCTCCCTCCCGCCTCCCTTCCTTTTCCGTCTGTAGTCGTCTCTGCCCTGACTTCTGTCCCCACATATCGCCTCACAACCCCTCTTCCCCCACTCAGGGGACCCTCCCTCTGCGCCTGCCCCCACCCCAATGCCACTGCAGCCTGGCCTTGTTTTCATAGCACTTGCCATCAGCTTGCACACCCCTCCAGAGCAGGAGCTTCCCCAAAGGGAAGGGTAAAGCTTCCCAGCACAGCCTCTGGGGGCCACCCCCTGGGGGCAGCAGCCAGGAAGGGAAATAGAACCAGCCACAGCTCTCATCTGGGGACC